TAGTTTAAAATGGTCTTCAAACAATATTATCATTTATCGCAATAATTTTTGAGACGATTAGTCGCTCAGCAAAATTTGTTACCGTGACAGGCCTATCAGTCTATCATGCCTTTGCCAGGAAGCAAAAACAAAACTCTAAGTCGGAATTAGTTTTGCAGTTTGAATGCATAAATGCCAAATTTGGTATTTATATGTTTGTCTAAGGAAGCAAACAGAAATTACCACTACCTTTTTGTTTTGTTTTTGTTTGGATTAAGCCTTTTTAAAAGGACAGGGATTAATAAATTATCTTCTGTATCAAACTCACTTCCTGGAAAAGCGCACCTAATGTAATTCATACCATAGTTTTACTAGCAAAGCATTTCAAGGAACCTTCGTGGAAAAGGGTGTGGTGGCTAGACGAAATGCGCATCAATTGAGTTCCATTTGAATAACTATTTGTTTGCAATCCTGCTTGTGGTAGTGAGTTTTATTTTTTGCATTAGCCTAATTTGAAGCCACTCTGTTAGGAGTATTGTTCTCCACTTTTCTTGGTAAAGGTCTAGAGATGTTAAATTATTTCTTTACTGGAGATGAGTTCAAAGTTAGAAATTATTTCAAATTACCTGCTGTCATACCCAGCCAGTGGGTGAGCTCCCACTTTACCAGCCAAGAACAGCATGTTGGGACAAGAAGAATCCTGTCTTTCAGAGAGAGCAAGCTGATCACTGGTTTGTGGAGGATGTTTCTTGCCATTATGATAAGTGCTTCTTTGGCAGTAAGCCACATGTTCTGTGTTCACAGATCATCCTAGTTTATGGGAATGTCAGTGTTCAAAATGAATGAGAACAGATAGCAAATGACAGAAACATCAGGTGTTTCTTTTTGGCTGCTTTTTTTTTTTTGTAATAATCTTTACTACATTTAAGTAGCAAAATGTAGGCCACGTAAACTCGCATCAAGTTTTCCTCCATTCTTTTGTTTTAATTTAGATTTCACTCCTTTTGGGTTGGAATCTATCTGTGTCAGCCAACTTTTAGAAAATGGCCTGCTTGACCTTAAAAACAAAAAATAAAATAAAATGTTTCTTTCTACTGTAAAGAAAAGCAACTCCCAATCATTATCCAGTGGAAATGCTGTTCTTTTGTTGACACATTCTACTACAAGGTGGTGAGGGGGGTTTAAAATGACCCGGGTGTTTCCTCTGCTCCGAGTGCAGGTTGTTGTTACAAGAAACACAGAAGAAATTCCTGAAGCTCCTGCAGCTACTTGCCTGGTTTAATTTTAGTCTTTTTATCAGGTTTTTGCAATCACTTATTCATGTAATGTTGTGGAAATTTGTCTCCTGATTCATAGCTTTTCAGAATGGGAGTTTTTTGTTTTTGTAGCACTTCTGAAAACATTGCCGGAAGCTTCTTCTGTAATTCTAAGGCAGTTTCCACTGTGCGTATTAGTGCATATAAAGGTACATTTGGTTGTTTAACTATTAAAATAGGCAGGTATAAATCTCCACTGTATTGCAAATGTGGAAAAGGCAGGAAAAAACTAAACTTTATACCAGCTTCTCCACATTCAGCTTCTCACCGTCCAAAATTAGGGATGGGAGCTCAAAAACATTGTCTATTTAGTGATTAACAATTGTGATAACCACTTCACAAAACAGATTTACTCCAGTGGTTAAAATGGTATTTTCCATTGTTTGGACATTGTTTTGATCAGTCTACAATTAGAAAGGGTTTTAGTGAAAATTTTAGAGCTTGGATGCATTTATTGCTTTGTTGTTATCTATATTTAAGGATAGAAAAAAAGGCTATTGAAAGAATACCATTTTAATTAATGGAAAATGACATTAAAAACAATTGTTTCTTGGACTAGTTAGCCGCTGTATTTCTACAGACATTGCTGTAGAAACAGCAACAGTTAGCTGTTTGGTTGATTTCCAAACAGTGAACTCAACCTCATTGCTACGTTATCGTGACAATGAGAATAAAATATAAACATAGACAGCTTAAAGACATGCAGAGCCAATCTGAAACATTTAGTCAAAGTTGAGTTTCCACTTGCTGCCTAACTTGCTTTTTCAGTTATTGCAAGATCTGGCAGGCAGTAGTGAACCAGCTGACTTTAAAGCTTACTTCCTATAAACACATTTAGTACTGCAGAGGATTTTTTTTTTATCCCACAAAAAATGCTATAAAGAAATGTTTAACCAGAGCATTTGTTTTTGCTCATCTATTCCGTGCAGTTTGTGAACACTGGTTTATCACTTCCCAGCACACGCAGCTACAATGGCAGTTTGTGAAAATATTACAAGATATTAACAACCAGCCTGTGTTTTGTGACTCAGAATAACATACAGAGGCAAAGTCATTGGGCAGCATGCAAAGTGTGAATAAAACAGTATTCATGACATGTAGGAGGAAGAGAAGGCGGTTCTGTAAAAATCAGCAATACAAACTTAGCCCTATGTTGTCATCATTAGGAAAAGCATTAACATACCCAAAAATATAATTTTACCAGATAATCAATGCGTTGCTTTTTTCAGGGTGCTAACTTTTGTCTTTCCATTTTGTCTTGTGTTTCTTAGATGTGCAAATGGTGTCAAGTGATGATTAGTGTACGATCAAACAGATTTAATTTTTCTTTTTTAAGAAAACATTTCAGTTCATTGAACATTTTTGGTGAGTGTCTTAAGTAAAATATCCACTAAAGACCAAAATAATTTTTATTGCAAAGAATCCTATTTGAGAATAGATGTTTTACTGTATTCATGAACTGTGGGTTTTTCGTGCTTGTATTCTGGTGTTCCTCACAGCAGCTTCATCTGGCTTTCAAAACAGCATGGCAAATGTTTTACTCAAAGTCAGGACTCTGGTTGAGCCTCTATAAAATGTTAATCGTAAATCCAGAGCGATCAAACTTTGGACATTCTGGGAATCGGAAGAATGTTAGCAGAAACGTTGTTTCATATGGAGGGAACGGAGAGCATGGCTGAGCCCTGGTTCTTTCTTCTGGATTCCTTTGTATATTCGAGTGGCATAGCCTCCTGACTACCAGTAGTTCATTTTTGTCCTCTGTACAGGCCATTTCTAAACTTGAATATCTCCCACCCCCTGCATTCTACTGAATTAATTCCTTTTGGTATCTGGAGAGGACATTTAGGGCTTTTCAATGATACCACATGTGAAGGGGTGGGGCTTTTGTACGTATCTTTTTCTAATTCATAAAAATTGCGTTCATCAGTAATAACACATTTTATGGGAAGAGACAAAGTAAGTGCATAAAACCTTTTATTACCTTACAAAGAATGTGGGATTTAAAAAAATGGTGATTGGACAATATTTTTTTTCTGGTAGTCAGGAGGATAGTGGTGATTTTAAGATAAGAAATGTATTCCTGTGGACGACCTAAAATCTGTATAAAACAAGCAAACAGTTGTTTGGTTGTCTGGAATGAACAAATTATATGCCAGTTTCAGTATATTGGTTTGTTTACAGGTAGAAAATAGAAGGTGGACTGGACGAAATAGCAATGAGTGGGAATAGTTAGTGAAAGATTAAATGTTCTGGACGTAAATTGCAAAATATTTACAAAGTGAGTTAACCATTAATGTCTACAAGGATCAAAATACAAACCACTTTTACTCCAAAATGTTTAATAATACATTTCCTTACACTGGCTCCCTGTAGCTTAGAGAATAGACTTTAAACTGACACTAGTTTATAAATTACTGAATGGCTTAGCACCAAAATACATTAAGGATCTGTCGTTGTTGTTGTTGTATCAACTTTTCAAATCTCACTTCTCTTCACTTCACTTTATTTTACCACGTTTTTTTGTTTATTGTGTTATGTTTTTGTCATGTAAAGCACTTTTAACCTTGTTACTGAAATGTGCTATGAAAATAAACGTGGCTTAATGTGGGCAATGTATCGAGTATACTCGATGTATCGCGATATTTTCAATTCACGATAGTTAAAATGGCTATATCGCAACCATTGAGTATATATTGCTATCCATTTTGTATGGATGTATGGATATGTAACCCTTCTACGTCTGTCTCAGGTCCAACAGGTTGACGTCACAACAGAAACATTCAGGTTTAGTGTATTTATTCCAACAAAAGAGAAAATCAAGTTGTTGGTTAACATCAATCCAGCAGCTTCTGCCCCTATACATTAAATAAAACACAATAAATAACCCTAAACAAACTACAAGAGCAATATCTCCCAATGAGCAGTTAGCATTAACATTTGTAAAATTAAACATATCTAAAATGGACAACATTAATAATGACAACAGTTAAAAAAACATATACAAAACATGACAACTTCACTTTTGAAACATTGTATGTTATTACATTTGTCTAAAATATATGTTAAAATATAATATTTGTGACGAAAACGCACAGCTACAAACAGCAACAGAAAAAGGAGAAGGGGCCCCGTCAGTTACCGGTTGCTATGGTAACCACCAACTGCCAAGAGCAACAAGCTCCACTAAATCTCTGAAGAAACAACTTGTTGACTAACCAAAATAATATGATATTGGTTTCATTATGTCTTCACAGATTTGTATATGGCTACTTCAGAGAAAGCTTTACATCTATGAGGTGAGTAATAAAAACACTACACTTTTTAAAATATATAATTAAACACTGTTAGAGATTTCCACTGAGTCTGTCAATGTTTGACAAATCTCATGACCATTTTGTATCTCCATTTCATTTCGTCACGTGATTTGAAAACGTGCTTTTGTTTTCCGTTAAAGATTTTGCAACCAAGTGTGTGTTGTCCCTGTTGTCCCTGAGAAGGATTTATTTGACCTGGAAAATAAACTTGATGAGATAGATAGGAATGAGGACGGGCAGTGCCAGAAAAGCAGCTGCAAGATGGGAGAAATGATAATGGAATCAGGGTAAGAAGCCTTTTTGTTGTTGTTGTTGTTGTGCATTGTTGTTAAACACTATTATGGTTTATTATTAGTACAAAAAAATGTACTAGAGCTTTAAAAACCATATAAAACACCCATCGATATATATATATATATATATATATATATATATATTCTCTTTCTTGCATAGTAAAGTAGCATTTTAAATAAGATATAACATGTAAAAATGTAAAAAAAAAAAAAAACATTGTTAACTGTAAGCTAAAATGAATCTTCTGCATAAATAACTATTTTCTGAAGAGTCATTGGCAGATATTTTCTCTTTCTAACATTAGATAGTCATTTGTCCCTGTTTGCATCCAGACCAAATTTTAATTTCATTCCATGTTTTTTTTTTTTTTGTTTTTTCTTTTTGAGGGATGGAGAAGTTTGGAGATTTATAAAGAAAATTGTTAATTTGAACAGGGGAAAAACTATCATACTTTTTTCATCTACTCTACATATGAACTCTTGGATTAAACCTCAGTTTATGTCAGAGAGTTTGATTTCATACTCAGATACTGCTGTTATTAAATTTGTTTTTAAAATGATTTAAGTAACATTTTTGATCACATGTAATTAAGAATTATACTGTATAAAAACAAAGCACACATGGACAAAACAAATCATGTGAGGTTCAAAAGATGAATGGTGACTTAGTTATTATTCAAAGTTACTAAAACAAAACAACAAGCATTGATCTTAACGTGACATAAAATATAATCTGGAAGACACAACATTCCAAAATGTAAAAATACATTTCATTAAGTGCATATTACCAAGACTGAGAGCTTAATTTGAATTTTTATAGGTATTCGGTTTTATAGTGAGGACAGGAACAATGACTGAATTGAATGCCTCCTTCCTCTCAGAAAATATATCCACCAAGATAAAGCCTTTGTTCCTTTGTTCTCAGAATAGCTGCCCCGACCCAAACAGAGAAAAAAAAAAAAAACTAAACTAACTTCCTACTTGATAATGTGGGTCATAATGGCAGTTTTTGGAAATCAGTTCACGGTTTCAGATGCAGAAATGAAGAATAAAAACAGACTGGGTGAATAAGTGACATTCAGCCTGTGGAAATCTGCACCAGCAGCACTTTTGACAACATATTTTGGCATGTTTATGGCTTAATTGAGTTTGTCTGATTTAATGTTAGGTGTTATGTCTCAGTGTATCATGGCTTCTTCGTGTGTGACAGGATATCATGTTTTTAAGAGAGACCCTATTGTCTCTATCACACCAGATATTGAAAGCAACTAAGGTTCTTTCTGAGAACATGATTTTGCTATCTCTAGTTGCGTTATTTTTATTTTTTTCAGTTTCAAACATTAGATTTTGTCCCCTTCAGCTAGAAAGCAGTGTCCTTAAAGGAATAACATAAGACAAGTGAGCTTCCTGGAGGAACCTTTGGTATGTGGCAAGGAATTTTATCAAGTTCATGATCCAACGATCCCGGCAAAGCCTGGGATCCTGCAGGAAGAGGAAATGTTCCCAATCTGAAGGGCTCTGGTTGAGTTGGCCTAAATCAACAAAAAATAAACTTTACAAAGGGTGGATGTGAGACCTTTGAACCGGCAGAACAATTTTAAACAACCTGTAAGCCACGTTTCAGTGACTTAACCCTGTGTGGATATTACTGACATGTTGTCAAGAGTTTTAGGAGTTGTTCACTTCTCTTATTTTGTCTCACTGAGCAAAGTGATTTCTTTTTAAAATTAACTGACAGGTTTAAGTTTAGCAACCTTTTAGTAACCCCATAGTGTTTTTGCTGCCATGTTTAATTTAAAAATTATAGGAACAAAAGTGTTTCTGCCCGGTCACTTTAAAGTAGTTTGCACTGAAATTAGGTTGGCAAAATTATTACTGGTCATTTATGTAAAATTTCAGGGTAATTAAAAGGTGTTTAGATTTTAATAAATATGATTTATCCATTGGTTTAAAAGAAGGTATATGAAAAAAATTGTTCAGAAATGTATTATGCTTTGTTTTTATAATAAACTTTTAACTACAATCAGAAAATTCACAAATACATTTTCTTTACATGCCCAAACAATTTTCTGACAAATTATGAAGTATAATTATGAATTTGAAGTACACTAGCTAAAGAAACATAATAACCAACAAATGCAACATTATATTTCTCCACTGTACTGAATAAAAACCCCATATCTAAAAACACCAGGCTTCTCATTTAGCACATCTTAGGGAATGTGCCTTTTTCAGATAGCTGACATTTATCTGACATTAAATTGCTTATAATTGATTAAATAGTAAAGATTTACTCTCTAAGTTAATCTTTTATGATTTATAAAATGTCCTGCATGTACAACTTCTGTCCTTCAAAATAAAATGCAGCAGCTGATTTTTCCTTTTCTTCTCCAGACTAAAATATGCTCAGCCAAGCACGCTGACTGGGTAAGCATCACAACACATTTGATTCTACTGTGCAACTTTGTTCTTGCTTTAGTATTAAGTTTTAGTTTTTTGTTTGTTTGTTTGTTTGTTTTCCATTTTAAAACAATGAGGAAATAAAAAGAGGAAAAGCTTTTCCAGATTCCTGGAAGTATCCTCAAACAGGAAATTATTTAAGAGAAAAAAAACCCATCTTCCATTATTTAATTTTGTGTTTTAGGACATCATATAAATTCTTAAATTACATGTGTAAGAAACCCCAATGACCACTCCTTCACCACCATGCTTCAACCATTGGTATTAGGATGCTTGTGGTGTTATGTTTGGTTTCTTCTTCTCTAACTATGGTGCAATTCTTGTTCAGCTTTTTTTCACTGTTGTCTTTTTTCTGGCTCAGTATGTAAAACCTTGTAGTTGAAAGAGGGATTTGCTTGTTTTCATTATGTGTTTTTTTTGCTCTAATGTTCCTTAGTAAGTACAGGAACAAACATGAGCATTTATGTTTTTCTTTGAATTTGTTGAAAAACAAGAAAAGTAAGTTGGTCGAAGGTTGAGTGATGAGTGCAAATGAAAGGATTATACTGGTTTTTATCAGTAAAGATCAGTAAATTGAAATGTTTCTTCAAGTCAAAACTATTTTTTAATATTAAATATATTCCAGACAACTTATTGTACAGTGGAAATATATATATATATATATATATATATCATGATTAAAATTTTAGCTTTTTTGAAGTGGTAAAACATGAAGCTATGAAACATTGCTTCAAAACATTTCTACCTTGAATTGTGACATTTGTACAATTAAACTGACAAAACACAAAAACAATAGAGATTTTAAGCAACAACTTTTTTTTTACTACTTTCTTAAATACTGCAGGATACATGTTGCATTAAAGGTGAAAAGAGTTGAGAATTGACTTAACTTGGTCTCTTTATATCTGCTGTAGCTGTGGATTATGTTTAGATAACTAAAATGCAATGCAGCTGGTGTTTTTTCTAATACCTGTTGAGTAGCTTCAGGTTAAAAAGCAGTAATCAGGATGGCAACCCACATGTTTTAGAACAATGGGCAGGCCAACTATGTGATGCTACTTGCTAAAGCTTATTAGCATTAAACTCTTCATCAGTCATTAGAAACCAAAAAAAGGAAGATAAGTTTCCTGCCTTTTAGATCATATCAGAATTTGCTCCGATGTAAAACTACCCTGTGATCATTTTGTTTATAAATGCATTTCCTTGTTTTCCCAAGACGGAGCGATGTGAACGCCGTGACAAACTGGAACGTTCCTCTCGTCTGGGAAGGGACCTTTGATCCTGTGGTCATTGATGCAATCTATAAGAGAATAAACCCAAGAATAGCTGTGGTGGTTTTTGCTGTTGGCAAGTATGTAATCAGAATATGTTGTGGAAAACGACGCTTTACTAGGTTGCCGTTTCTTTTCTGTATTGCTTGTTTTTTTTCCTCACTAATTGAAGGCCCTCGTTGTTTGCTTTCCCCCAACCAGGTACACTCGTTTTCTACAGAAATTTATTGAGACAGGAGAGAAGTATTTCTTTGTCGGCTTCAATCTCACTTACTACGTTCACACAGACAGAGAAAACGAAGTCCCCAAGGTGAGCTGCTTGTATTTTTATTCTTAGCCCTTCAACAATTGTGAGAAGCATTTTAATACCTCTTACTCAGACAAATCAAATACAGATTTGATCAGGCAAACTTCTGTTTTTAAAAAAGATCAATTAGTCCAACAACTTTTACTGACTACAGATAATATAATCAAATAATTTTGGCCCAATTTTAAAAGTTAAATTCTTCTCTGAGCCAATGCTGGTTGGATTTTTTTAAAAGAACCAAAACAGCTTTTTGTAATTATTCATGCTCTCTTTGTCTAGTTTTAGAGATCCTTTGATTATCTGAAACATAAAAGTGCAACAAAGTAAACATTTTAAAATTGAGAAGTGGTAAATATGTTTTCATCTCTAGACTCTTTGTGCAGACTTGACTCTCATCAGATTACTGTTTGTAAAAATGATATTTTTTACAAACAGTAAAATAAAAAAGAAAGAGAGAGGCTATGGGGATGGATACAGTTTCAGAAAAGGAAGAGACAGCAGCTATGAAAAAGAAAGTTGTCTGAAATATTATAATTACATGCTAAATTGTGTTGGTTCATGTTTTGGATTGGAAAGTTCAAAAGTCATAAAAACTTTTGCAACGACCTGTATAGTTTGCCGATGACAACCTGATATTTGTCTCTGAATTACCCGGAACGAAAGCAAAGTCGCTTCTCACTAAATGCTGAGAGCAGAAGCTTTTCCAAGAAAAAGGATAGTTTACTGGGCCTGTCAGTAATCCCCACCGGGTCACTGGCAGCAGGAAGAGCTGCAAACCCAGTCCTGCGTGACGAAATCTGCCAATCAGGCTGAAAAAGAAAATTCCAGGAAATAAATGTTTGTTTCTGTAATTAGAAACTTCCTTTCTAACAGAAAAATTCTTGCTTTGTTTGAGCGTCTGCTAGAAATAACAATGGCCTTTCAAGGAAGACAGGTGAAACGGAGGACAAA